TTAAATTAAAACATATTAATAATATAATAACATTGATTTCTTCATCAGCCGAATTTTGTACGCTCATGTCTGACATCATTACAATGCACTCGTACAGTCGTACTGTTTAAAATTAACTGATGAAATTCACATTAGGTCTCTTTATTTTATATAAATGTCTATATCTATGATATATAGTGTAAACCATGCCAATGCCTATTACATATTATGGTATTTGAAGTAAATAAAAACTAATATACGCATTATTTTTTCTTCGCAATACACAGATGAATTAAGATATTTGACATTTACTATATATCAATCTAACTTGTTTCCTTTTTTGTTAATTTATTCATTGATTTATTAATATTATAAAGATGATACATTTTGGTAAAAAATATCAATTATAGTTGACATAAAATGTTTTGATGGATTTTTACCTCAATAAATTATCGGATATCTAGGAATTTTAAATGTTYTTACTAATTCTTCCGGAATGATACTGCAATCGATTTTAACATATAACCCATAACTCATGGGTTTATGATAATGTGTGTTCTTAGTATTGTCTGTAATAATAATATTATTAATTGGTTTTAAAAAACATTCAAAATCGGCATACATTACAATAGGAATTTGGTCAGCTCTATTATATTTATTAAAACATATAAATTCATCATTATGTGGTTCGCTCATAACGGGCCTACAAAGTTTGTGTTTTTGGCAAACTACTTTATGACCATCAAGGCCATGCTAACCCCATGGCTTATTTTTATTTGGATTATTATTRAAAGTCGTAGACCATCGCTTGCAAATTATTATTTTTCTTTCGTGTTTAGTCCTTTGTGATCTGATCAGTCGGGAGAAATTATTTATTTAACAATGATGTGTTGTTGATGTATTTGAGAAAAAAAATCGTAATGATCTGATTTTTCGTTATTGTTAATATGAAGTGGGTAAATTTGATATTTATCATCACAACTATAAACATTAACGGATATGTTATTAATTTTTTTATTTGATTGATTGGCGTAGGGTAATCAATACAATTAAAATTAAGCCCACTTATTTAATAATAAAATTATTTTAATTTTTTTTTCATTAAATGTTGATAAAATCGCATATTTAAAACATCTATTGTCATAATTCACAACGTTTATTATTGCCTTTTTGTCATTAATTGATTTTGGCAATTTTATAAATGATGAACCACCCAATAAATTCACTTTATTTGTTCTTAATTGGAGACCATCCAAGTTAATTTGTCTCAAAGATGAACCCTTCAGCAAAAATTACTCCTGTTCATTTAATAATTTATAAAAMATGTTTTTAAAAATGGTTGAAAAATTTGAAGTGAAACAGCATAAAACATTTTTTGTTTTAAAAGCAATATACCGTACTTCCCCCGTAATCAAATTTTCATATACTAAGTCTACAAATAAATTAAATTTATAGGTTATAGGTGGATGAGGAACATAGTTCTTTTAGTTTAGATTTTGATGAAGAAGAAGTAGAATTTAAAAATGTCAATAACTCAATAAGGTTTTYGTTKTTTTTAAAATAAAAATTTTTTGATCAATTATTTTTGAATTTCTCAACTTCTACTAAATTCACCCTGCRGTTGTGTTTAATCGGTTAATTTTTTTAATACGATTATTTTTTATCATTTTTAACAGTTAATATAAAACTGTACTAAAATAAAATATATTAAATTATTTATGTATGTACTGTTGACTGAAGTAGATTGTCGGTGAGATTGGTGATTGGGAACACTTGTATTACATAATTCTCATGGGGTTCAGCATATAAATTACGGTTGTCACAGTGATGTATTTTTGACATACTATGCRCCTACATCTTTGACAATATGTTTGTAAAACATTTATATCCATGAACATAATATGGTTTGCATCGAAATGTAAATTTATAAGATCTGAACTAAAATATGTTTGATTGAAAAGATTAGCACATTCAAACGAAAAAAATATATCGACGATAATTATCATCAAATGAATATCGAACTTCCATCATGACAAAAGTTGAATGCTACTGACGAAAATATTCATAAGCTTCGCGTTCACTATGACTATGAGCAAACGGATATTTTTCGATGTGCCGATATCTCTTTTTTTTTTTAGTTAAAATTTTTTCGGGCAGCCCTGTAAGCGGAAAAGTTATGAATAAACGTTTTAAAATCACCATGTATATCAGCAAAAAAAAAAAAAAAAATTGGATAGAAAGCACCCACAAATCTGATCGGTCAAGAGGCGGAAAGTCGGGGATAACCGATTTGAAATCTCCCTGTAATTGTAAACACTGGGATAGAACCTACAAATACTACCTACTTATGTGTATAGTTTTTACTTTCCTTCTCAACCACATTAAAATTTAAATAACCAATACAATAGGCAACTAAAATAAGTATTTGAAAATGATGTTAAGAAGTATATTAAAATGAAATAATATAGTTGCATGGCATTGTTCTCAATCATTATTTTTTAAATCAAAGTTATTAATAACATTTTAATCGTTATACGCTATTTGTTTWTCAATATAATCTTATTTTACTAGAATTTTCTTCGTTTTTTTTACTTCGTAAAGAATATATTACCTTATAAATAGACATCAGCTGTTCTATAGCACGAAGCTTTACCAGTTTATCTCTTTTATCAACTGTATGACAATATAACATCGAATGATATTGAAGCAGAGCATGTTTGAGCTAACCATCGTTATTATGGCACGTCTGCAGATGTGTTGTATTGGTACCGCAAGTGGCACACAATCAAGTGTAGGTAAGTATACAAGCAATCAATATTTATTTCTTATCGATATGATATTTTCATAGTAATAATAAMAAATTATAACACAGTCAGACGATCGCACACTTTAACAACAAAAGCAACAATAACGCCGAGTATCGCCATATTATCAAAGTTTACCTCACATATATGATTATACCAATCGAACGGCCGTAATTATAATAATATCGTWATTATCGTTGCAAATATCTTAACAGATTATAATAATTTATTACCGTATGAATAGTAACACAAAATACGTAAACGACACCACGCGAATATTTTTGTCTAACCGTATAATTATATTCGCCCGGCGTAGATTGCAAACGATATAATAATGTTTTATTTAATCATTTTAATCCGCAAAAATCTCGTCGACTATAACACGATAATATCTCATATATACCAACCTGTGGATTGCGGTAACGTACCTATATAATGATTTTTTTTTGAAATAAATACGGACAGCATAAATTTACATAGTTTATACATTTTACAATTAATAACTGTCGTATATATACGTATATGACTCGAATGTGTAGGTACCTACGTAATCGAWYGTGTCTTAATTTTTTAAAACATTCAGAACGATCTGTGGAGTACAAATATCTGTACGCTGATATTTATTATTGTGTCCAATATGGTCCATGAGCAGCAGGTCGTGTGGAGATCTGCACCATCAAAATCCGTTGGCCGAGAGTCGTATAGAAGAGTGTATTGATTCGAACGCCACTCGCAAATGCCAATCAAATGTCAACAACTACAGAAATGACTGTACGTACAATAGTAAGGCTTTTAAAAAATATTTCAATGTGCAACACTTCGTACAAATTATACTTTATTATTCGACGAAGTATATTTAAACTTAAACATAATAGGTATACGCAGGCATACATCATATATTATTATATAGAAACATTAAAACGAATATTATTACAATACAATCGATAAAACCTTCGAACATAATACATAATATAACAAAAACGATGATGATAATAAAAATAATTAACTAATGCACCAATAGGTAAATTAATACAAATCGCGACTGCAATTGATTTGGCAGACTTGACGAGGCTGCAGTAGAAAAATGTATTAACGACCAGGGATACATTCTATGGAGGCACTTTACTATATAGGTATGTTATGTGTAAGTATAGTTTTTCATAAGAATCTATATAATAGTGTAGGGGGTTATTGTGATTGCGTGTTCGGGAGCACTGCGGTGAAGGTTAGTATATTTTGTTTGGTGTTTTTGTAAAAAAAAAAATAATGTATTCGATCAAATATATTATAATATATAGTCAAACAGAATTGAAAATTGGTAAATGTATAAGATCAACGTTTTTTTTTTTTCATTCGACAATTTAAGCATTACATTTTTGAGGGGACTCATCTAAGTGGTTTTTTCCCGTAAAACATCGTCCGAAAAATACAATCCAAACCAAAAAACATATATGTATGTATAGGTACAAAATATTATATGCGTCTGGAATCTGGATTGTCTGAAAAACGAAGAGAATATACTTATAGCCTTATAGGTATATTATATCATTATATAATATATTATAAATTGGACGTTGAAATGCCTAACTGAAAGGCTAAAAGGAAGCATATTTTATTATTCGCCATAATTTTATTTGCAGTACACTTCGATCGATATGTTTTGACGWTAATAATAATAATAATAATAATAATAAAAACGCAACTATTAAAAGCATGCAAAAATTAAACAGGTAAAATATCATAATATTAATAATAATWATTATTATTATATACTTATTATAAACAGTACGACAGTATCGTTTTTCCCAACACACGAAAAAAAAATATAATATTAAATAGGCGTAATAATTATATGTATATATAATATAATATAATATATATATTTAAGACTCTTCGTCGCCCACGCCGTCCGTATTCTCCACCAACGCTTCGTCGGCGTTCATCTTGTTGGCGCTGTTATATCTCGGCCGCATCAGCGTCTTGGCCGACTCTATCCTCTGGCTTAGGATCTGTAAGAAATGCGATTTTCATTTTTTGCGAAAAAAAAATTAAAAARWATTGTAAAGAAATCGATCAAATCGAACACTGTACGTGAACAAGATTTCACTGATGAAAAATTCTCGAAATTCAACAGGAATTATGATGATAACAAAATATCATGACAATTTTAAATTATTACAGCGTTGTGTTGTGTCGAATGATACTTCGTGCATAATATCACCATGTTTATAGTTTTGAAATAATAATTGAAACAATATACAAGACCACTTTAAACGGCGATTGCGCCACAGCATATATTATAGATATTTGTAATAAAATATTAWTTGTAACTATGTTGAAGGGCTGACATATATGTATATTAATATGTTATTATTATTAAATGCATATGATATACACAGTTCGATACCTACGTAATTATAATTCAATCCATAACTTGTATACCTATACCATTGATTGATGAAATTGCGTCACGCGGAATACCTTTACGCATTTATTTTATCGTGTATTCCACACGTGTCAATTATGAATTAATTATTAATATTATTACTATCATAACGATTTACGGTTAAAAGCTAGTTTGGAAATAAAAATGTGAATTCGTCAACAGTGAACGCATAATGGCCCGCGCATTCGCCACGTTACGATGCTTTATTATATTACTTATCACGTTATGATATAATAATAATATTACTGTCGTAATGATATACAATGTATATTATACATTATAATACAATGTCTGACGACTCTGACGTCTGTTATAAGGTATTCGGGTACAGTGCACACTGCAATGGCCAATAAAAAAAAATAGAAAAATACCACGTTTGCAATCCGCGTACGCTTTAATTTTTTAATTCCAAACGAAATTCCCGGAAGATTTAAAATACCATAAAAATACGGCACGACATATCTTCTAGATTTGAAATTATAACTGCAGTTTATAGTTGTTGTTTTTGAGTTTCAGATTGCTTCCCTAAGTGCATTATGAAATGCACTGACTATATGGCAATATGAGTTCTAATCGATTACCACTCAGAATCGATTTTTTAACGCGATAATTAATTTAACTGTTGTTGTCTGTATAGTTTTATATCGGGYATAGGACGTTTGCGCATCACTATTGTCATAAAAAAAATTTCTAAATAATGTGTAATTATTTTTTTTYCGGTTAGAACTGACAGCGGAGGAGGGTCTGAGGTCTGACAATACTACTCCTAAATTATAATTATATATTAGTTCGACTAGATTCGTAAATTGATCATTACGTCTTACATCCTTAAAAGAATTAAAAAATTAATTACAATGTAATTTTTTTCAAATCTAATTGTTTTTAATTCTGATATACATATACTTCTAATATCCATATTATATTAACCAGTGTATTATGTGGTCGTGTTCCCCATTACCCGTTATAGTCGTTATATGGTATAGGTACCTATACTGTTCAAACGACCATTCAAATATTTAACCTGAGTGGAATAATGATGCGCAAAAGACAAAATCCGTTCACACCAAAATCGTAATTTGCAGCACACATGACGGCTCACACTGCTGTGGCCCACCCAAGATTCAACTCGGTTGATTTTTTTTTAATTTAGTACCTAGGTATA